GAAGAAGCGACCGATGAGGAGAGGACTGCTGCTGCTAAGGAAAGGGAGCATGACTTCCTATGCAAGGGCTACATCCTCAACGGCCTGGCAGACGACCTCTACGACTACTATGCGGACAGCAAGAACACCGCAATGATGGTCTGGGATGCGCTCCAAAAGAAGTACGACACGGAGGAGGCTGGAGCTAAGAAGTATGCTGTCAGCCGCTACCTGCGCTATCAGATGGTGGATGACAAGTCTGTCGAAGTTCAGTCCCACGAACTTCAGAAAATAGCTCACGAGATCGTCTCTGAAGGTATGCCTCTGGACGATCAATTTCAAGTTGCTTGCATTATTGATAAGCTGCCCCCTTCGTGGAAAGATTTTAAGAATATGCTTAGACATAAAACCAAAGAATTTTCACTGGAAAGTTTGATTACTCGCCTAAGGATTGAGGAAGAGTCCCGCAAGCAGGATATGAAAGAAGAGGTGATGGTCGTCACTGCTAAACGACCCACCCCTAGAGCTCTTAAACCTAACCAGAAAGGGTTTAAGGGTAAGAACCAGCAGGTCCGCCCCCACCAGAATGGTGCCTCTCGAGGTAACCAAAGGGTCATGGCTCAAACCTCTAAGAATGACCCACCGTTTATCTGCTTTAACTGCGGAAAACCGGGTCATATGGCAAAAAAGTGCAGGAACAAGCATAACCCCGCCGCTGCGGCCAGGGTTAACTTGACAGAAGAGGATTTGGTAGCCATGATCACAGATATGATCGCTGAAGTTAACCTCACTGGTGACTCAGAAGGATGGTGGCTGGATACAGGTGCATCGAAGCATGTATGCAACAATCGTGCTATGTTTAAAACATACGAAGAAGCACCTGCTGACAAGAAAGTGTTGTTGGGGACTACTCACACCACTATGGTTGCTGGTTCTGGTGAAGTGGAGCTGAACTTCACCTCTGGGAAGAAGATGGTGCTCAAGGATGTGTTGCACACTCCAGAGATAAGGAAGAATCTTGTTTCGGGATATCTTCTTAATAAGGCTGGGTTTAATCAATCTATTGGGGCAGACTTGTATACCCTTACTAAGAATGGGAGTTTTGTGGGAAAGGGATATGCATGTAATGGGATGTTCAAGTTGAATGTCGAAATTAATAAGATGAATTCTTCAGTTTACATGGTGTGTGATTTGAATGTTTGGCATGCTCGTCTTTGTCATGTGAACACACGAATTGTGAAGAATTTAAGCAAGCTAGGGCATATCCCTAAACTCTCAATGAATGAATTTGATAAATGTGATTTCTGTAGCCAAGCTAAAATAACGAAAACGCCCCATAAATCTGTGAGTAGAGAATCAGAACCCTTAGATCTGATTCATTCTGATATTTGTGAACTAGATGGGACGTTAACTAGGTCTGGCAAGAGATACTTTATCACTTTCATAGATGATTGCTCTGATTATTGCTTTGTTTATTTGATGAAAAACAAAAGTGAAGCCCTTGACATGTTCAAGGTATTTGTGGTTGAATTCGAAAATCAGTGCAATCGAAAGATAAAAAGACTTAGGAGCGATAGAGGATCAGAGTATGACTCTAATCCCTTCAAGGAATTCTATAGCTCACATGGTATCATTCATGAAACCACGGCACCATATTCACCAGAAATGAATGGTAAAGCTGAGCGGAAAAATAGGACATTTACAGAATTAGTTGTGGCTATTATGCTCAATTCTGGAGCTGCTTCTTCTTGGTGGGGTGATATTTTGTTGACGGTTTGCTATGTGCTAAATCGTCTTCCAAAAACAAATAGAAAAGAATCACCCTATGAGATCTTGAAGAATAAGTCACCTAATCTGTCCTATTTAAGAACGTGGGGCTGTTTGGCCTACGTAAGAATTCCTGATCCTAAGAGGGTTAAGTTGGCTAGTCGAGCATATGAATGTGTCTTCGTTGGCTATGCGGCCAATAGTAAGGCTTATAGATTCTATGATTTGAATGCTCGTACAATAATAGAATCCATTGATGCTGATTTCTTTGAGACACGATTTCCATTTAAAACGAGAAATAGTGGGGGTAATGTACTATCCGCTATTAGAGATAACGGAACAAGTGGGGGTGTTGGATCTGAGGATGAACTCAGAAGAAGTAAAAGAGCTAGAATCTCTAAAGATTTTGGTGATGACTTTACTACAGTATACACCCTAGAGGATCCAAAAAGTTTGCAGGAAGCATTAACTTCCATAGATGCAGACTTTTGGAATGAGGCCGTTATAGATGAAATGGAATCGTTAGAGGCTAATAAGACTTGGCATCTAACAGACTTACCTCCTGGCTGCAAAGTCTTAGGTAATAAATGGGTTCTAAAAACGAAACGGAAACCTGATGGTGCAATCGAAAGGTTCCGAGCTCGCCTAGTAGTCAAGGGCTACAGGCAGAGAGAGAATATAGATTTCTTCGACACCTATTCACCAGTATCTAGAATAACATCAATTCGTGTCATGATTGCTCTTGCTGCCTTGAACAATCTCGTGGTACACCAAATGGATGTTAAGACTGCTTTTTTGAACGGTGATCTAGATGAAGAAATCTATATGGAACAACCAGAAGGGTTTGTTATCCCTGAACATGCCTCGAAAGTCTGTAAGTTGGACAAATCATTATATGGTTTGAAACAGGCTCCAAAACAGTGGCATGAGAAGTTTGACACTCTCGTTCTCTCACATGGCTTTAAAGTGAATGAAAGTGACAAGTGTATTTACTGCAAGTCAGAGAATAACACTTGCACTATCATATGTTTGTATGTAGATGACATGTTGATATTTGGTACAAATATTCACGTGGTCAATGAAGCGAAAGCCATGTTAAAAGAGAGCTTTGAGGTGAAAGATCTGGGAGAAGCAAAGTTTATGCTTGGAATCCAGATAACTAGAACAGCAAATGGTTATTCTCTAGATCAATCTAGTTACATAGAGAAGATCTTGAAGAAGTATAACTATTTCGACTGTAAACCTGCGTGTACTCCGTATGATGCTAGTGTAAAGCTATTCAAGAACACTGGAGACAGTGTAAGACAAACAGAATATGCTAGCATCATTGGCAGTCTCCGTTATGCTGCGGATTACACTCGACCAGATATTGCATATGTCGTGGGGTTGCTTGGCAGGTTTAACAGCTGTCCTAGTAGAGAGCATTGGAATGCTATAGAGAGGGTCATGAGATACCTCAAGAGAACAGCAAACCTTGGTATACACTATCAAAGGTTTCCCGCTGTACTAGAAGGGTATAGTGATGCGGATTGGAATACCCTATCAGATGACTCCAAGGCAACCAGCGGATATGTTTTTAACATCGCTGGTGGAGCTGTGTCTTGGAAGTCAAAGAAACAAACAATCCTAGCTCAATCAACTATGGAATCAGAGATGATAGCACTAGCAACGGCTAGTGAAGAAGCAAGTTGGTTTAGAGGATTGTTGTCAGAGATTCCCCTATGGGAAAGCCCGGTCCCTCCGGTATTGATACATTGTGATAGTACCGCAGCTATCGCTAAAGTTGAGAACCGGTTCTATAACGGAAAGAAATGACAGATTCGTCGTAAGCACAGTACTGTTAGAGAACTCCTAACGATAGGAGCAGTGAGGGTGGATCATATAAGATCCGAACAGAATCTAGCTGATCCTTTGACGAAAGGATTACCTAGAGAGAAAGTCCAGAATACCGCCAAGGGTATGGGACTTATGCCTACCGAACCACGGACTACAAGTGATGGTAACCCGACCCAATAGACTGGAGATCCCAAGAAATGGGTTCAATGGGTAATAACAAGTCATGAGTAGTATGCGAAAAGTTCATGCATAATGAAGCATGAATCCCAAAGCAATGGAGGTTGAGTTAATAACTCTTAATGAGATCTATACCCTATGTGGGGTGGAGTACTTTACTTTGGGGGTACTCCTGATAGACTCACCTATGTGAATGTGGGAGTGGGGCCGCTCTCTATGGAACTTTGAGAGGCACAAAGTTGCTAGAGCGTTCACTAAACCAGGATAACGTGCATGGCCATAAACGCACGGGCTAAGAAGAGAACACAACTCAATGAAAAGATCCGGTGTGCTACACTGTCTGAGATAGGGTTCAAGACTACGAGTCACCCTTATGAAATCGGAAGTGTAACCACTACGCTAAGGTTCAAATCTTCGCGATACCTTAGCTTATGCCCGATCTTATGGAACTGTTAATGCTCAGAGATAGTTTCAAAACTATTCAAGTGGGGGATTGTTGGAAATGTGTATGAATAGCTTTGAAAGCTATAGAGTCTCAAGTGGAAAAACTACCACATTGGTAGTTTTACTTGGTGAAATGAGTATAAAGATAGGAGCCTCTCTCCTAAGGGCATGCCCCTTGGGGTGACCCACTTTTGTGGGAGAGGGAGGACCTAACGGACCACCACACACACGCGCGCGCGCGCGCCGTCCGTCCGACCGACCGACCGGTTGGTTGGTTGGTTGGTTGGTTGGATGGATCACTTGAGACTATATACATATTTTTTGTAGAAATTCCGAACGAAATTAATTATTTAATAATTAATTATTAATCGGTTATTCTGAGAGCTCCGGTTTTCGCACAAAACCGCGAGTACACAGAGGAGCTGTTTTATCCTGGAGACGACCGGTTGATAGTCTGCCGTGCGCATCGAGGGCAGTGCCGCGAACGTCTTAAAGAAAGCGACCTAGTCCGCGACTCAGCTCCAGATTCGGTATCCTCATCTTGTTGTTGTTCTGTTTCTAACATATTGTTTTACTGAGCGCCCCGGGTTTAGTATGCGATTTGTAGGTCGGGATAACAATAGGGTAGCCCATGTGGTGGCTAGAAAGGTCATTTCTTTGTATCCGGCTACTTGTCGTTCTTTTGATTTCCAGACATGGCTGTATTCCAGAGTGTAACTATCTGATATTTTGAATCAATATGATTATCTTTTGTAAAAAAAAAAAAAAAAAACAACTACCGAGATGAACCATTGAGTGAAAATGAAAAGGCAGCCTCGTTAGATTTGCTTCTAACAAAATTGACCTTAAGCACCTTATAAAAATACAAATTGGGCCTTAATCCCACCCATTTTCCACATAAACGTTTACTTGAAACTAAAACTAAAAATTTCAATAGTAGAAAACAATAAAAACTTGTCCGGTCAACTTCCTTTTTCTTTTTGGTAGGAAGGTCAACTTCTTTCTTGGTAGTTGGTATCACTACTCAATCAGTACTTTTGACTTTCACACAATTCCCCAGCTCTTCCTCAGCTCCTCCCTCAACCCCGCCAATTGCTTCGCCGGCAGTATGACGTTCACTACCTTCCCGGATTCCTCTCCTTCCTCCGCCGGCCCCGGAAGCACCAGCACCGTCCCTACCTCGCCGACTCCCCGAATCGTGCAATTCGCGAAAATTGGCTTCCGCCCCTTCATCTCCAGCTCGTAGATCTTGGCTTTCCCGAGGTTCACAAACGTCAAATTCGCACCGTACACCACACAATCGAAGCCGCCGCCGCCCTCCGCCGCCATCGCTTCCTCGATCAACTCGCTCTCGTCTTCCTTCTTCTCCGCAATCAACTCCGCCAGTTCGAACACCTTGGACTTCGCCGCCTCGAAATCGGCGCCGACCGTTCCCACCGCCATTTCGTTGCTCGGCGCCTCCCGCTCCCTGCCCGCTGCCGGGGATTTGTTCCAGCAGACCGTCACCGTCCTCGGCCCGGCAGCGGCCGAATCCTCGCCGAGCTTGGCCATCGATTTCCATAAGATCGCCGACAGGACATCGAAACGGGAGACCTTGGCGGCGGCGGCTGGGGATGCGCCGGCGGTAGCTCTAGATATGACGTCGTTTAGTTGCTGAGCTGTGAGGCGGAAGGTGTGAGTCCTGGTCTTGGCGAAGGAGGTTGCTCGCCAGGAGTCGCCGACCGGGTCGACCCGTTTCAGAGAGGAGGGTTTCTTCTTGTTGTTGGGCCGGAAGCGTGGTGGGGATGGATCCAGGAGGCCCGGTTGGTGGAGGGAATCAGGAGTCGCGTGACCATGCAGTAGTTGAGCCCAAGTGTTGAGGAAGGCGGAGGCCGAGAATGGATCGCCAAGCACGTGAGCCCAGCTGAGGCCCACTGAGAGGCCGCCACAATTGAACCAAGTAAACTGCATGCAACCAAACGCGTCTGAGTCAGATATTTAATAGAACTAGCAATGTGTCCGGCCGGTTGATGGGAATATTTGAGTTTATAATTTTTGGGTTATATGTATAATATATTTTTTTATTATGTTATTTTATCAAACATGTCATTTTACTATATTTTCAAAGTACAAAGGCGTTTGATGTAAAAAATAGTAGAGGGGTATATTTGATAAAATGAGATAGTATAGTAACATATTATATTTATAACCCTAATTTTTTTTAAATTATCCATTAATTATTAAATCAACAAAAAATCAACTTGCTATTGTTCTAATCATACAAAAATAGTCGATTACTAAATTATTTACCATTAATGCTAAAATCAAAAGGATGTATTGTACCCCATATCATGATTCTATAAATGGCTAAATAGATAAAACTTTCAATCAATCATTTTTGTGAACTCATATAGAATTATTGAAAATCAATGATAATTATAAACAACATAGCTTAATCGAGAACAAGAACCACTCCAAAAAGAAGGAGATCTAACTAAGAATAAACCTAAAATAATAATGAAATAATAAGAACTAAGATATTAAGAAAACGAAAAGTGATCGACACCACCTCATCTATTTTAGTATTTATAGTATGTAAACCATCTATGTGATACATAACCGGACTCTGTACTCGATAACCATTTTGGAGTTTCTATCAAACCATCATGTTATTTAAATACTAACATCAAACACAACTTCAATATCTTCTATTAAAAAACTTAATTTGTAGTTATATTTTTTTTCCGGTGTATTAGTAGTCAATTGTCAATTTGTAGCTATATTGATATAGACATAGAAAATAAATTTTCCATGAGAAGTAGTTTATAAAAGGGTTATAGGTATAATATGCCCCTCTACTATGATATTTTATCAAACATGCCCCTCTACCATTTTTTACATCAAACATGCCCCTGTACTTTGGAAAACTTATCAAACATGCCCTTTTATTAAAATTTCCATCCAAAAACCATTAACCAAGACCGAACTTTGGTTTGGGCGACCCAAATATCTAAAATATCCCTAATAATTTCACTTTAGAGTTTTTTTTGTTCTTTTGTATAGCCAAATAATTCTAATAATTTCACTTTGACGAGACCTAGAGAAATAAAACAAGGGCCAAAACTGACATTTCCCCTCCCATTTATCTATGTCAGGTCGTCTAAATCTCGGTTCAACCATGATTGACGATTTTTTCAATGGAAAAAATAGTAGAGGGGCATGTTTGATAAAACATCATAGTAGAGAGACATATTATACCTATAACCCTTTACAAAAAACTCAAAACAAACCAATACAATACTAGCCTACTAGTTCAGTTAGAATACATAATAAAAATTATATCAGTAAAGGATCACGGATTGATCATGAAAATTAAATGATATTCCAAAAGCATAAAATGAAGGAACGTGTTGTACAAAATGAAGGAACGTGGAGTCCATTTATAGCAGGTTCCTTTGGGATATTGATGATAATTCAATGAGGAAAAGGGTTGTTGCTTCTTGGCAGTTTGTTGCAAGGCCGAAGAAAGAAGGGGGTTTGGGGATCAGAAATTTTTCCATTTGGAATCAAGCTTGTGTTTTCAGGCATCTGTGGTCAATCCTTACTGCTGTCGGGTCCTTGTGGGTAGCCTGGGTTGCACGGTATCGCCTTAAGCAGATCTCATTGTGGGATTTGAAGGCTTTAGCTGCTGGGACTTGGATTTGGAAACGTCTCCTGAAATGCAGGGATTCAGCGAGACCCTTTGTTTCTTGCAATGGGGATGCATTATGTTGGGATGGAGAACCTATTAATCCTTACTCTGTTAAGCGAGTATGGGAATCATTGACGTAGCATGATCTTGTAGTTTCTTGGTTTAAACTGGTTTGGGGCAAGTTTATTATTCCGTGGCATGGATTTATACTTTGGTTGGTGATCAATGATTGACTGAAGCTGCAGGATAAGCTCCTAGCCTAGGGAAAGCAAGTGTCTAGGCTATGCCGTTTATGCCCTGGAGGTGTGGAGAATCGGTGGCACCTGTTTTCTGCTTGACCTTATATTCAGTATATGAACAATATTATTTTGCAGAGTAACTCTCCTCCTGCTTGTGATAGTTGGCATGCAGTTTTACAGTGGTGTTTGCAGAAGTGGAGAGGGGATGCGCCGTTAGCTATTTTCTGTCATATGTGTTGGAGTGTGAATGTCAGCCTTGTATGGCGGGAGAGATGCTCCAGGTTGTACGGTTCTGGTGTTGCTAGGAGTCCTTCTCAGCTGATCCTTGTTGCTAAAAGGAGTATTAGGAGTCGTTGTCTTCAGAATCAAACTCTGATTCATTGTTTTGATTCTAGGGGCTTGGGGTAATGTTCTTTCTTACGGTTTATTTGATGGTTCCCTTGCTTTTAGGGGTTGATGTACAGAAGGATGTTTGTTGCCGGATGGCTCCATAGCGATTTGGTATTGGTGTCGGTTTTTAATGATATATATATATATATATATAAAAGATTTTTTTAATTAAAGATCCTTTTTAATCATAATCAAATAATATTCCAAAAAATATACGAAACTGTTATGTAAAAATATAAATATTTTTTTTTAAATGTTAAACATCTTGTATATTATTTTATTCCCTCTAATCTCTTCTCTCTCTCAGTTCATTGCGTCAACTACTAAAAATTAGATCAAGTCCTCACTACACCCAATATGAACCGTCATCTATAAAAATATATGATATGTTGTACCTATGCAAATTTCAAACTTATGATTTGACTTTGGTTTAAAAAAGGTTATAAAAAAGGACTAACATCCAGTGGCGAAGCCACAGCCAAGGGAATAGGGTCCTAGGACCCCACTTGGGAATAATTATGAGCAAAAAAATGCTTAAATAATTGCTGTAAAGTGGACTTAGGACCCCATAATAAATCATTTCACTCAATATATTAAGAGCTTCTAATGTACGTTCACCTTAGTTTCTATGTAACCCACCACTTAGGACCCCAATCGAGTTCAAATCTGGCTACACCACTGCTAACATCCATACATAGACCGCTCTCATCAGGTACGTATACTCGAGTTATGAGAGCCGTTGGTGGGCGCGTGAGCTAGCTAGGGGGATTTCATTTCATAAAAGCTGGGCGGTAGAAACTAGATAGGAAAATAAATGCGGTTAGTACTTAGTACTAGTTACCATTGAATACTACTCCACCACTGCTGCAAGTAGCGATCGGCCTCTCCCTCAAGAGAAGAAACACACAGAATCTCGTACTGCGTACAATAAACATAGCTGTCCCAGTTTCGGTGCGGCGGTTGCACAGATCGATAGAGCCCTACCTCGCTAGCTAAAACTGAAAGCTCATTAATTAACTATCACTCATATATCTTCTGGATATATTTCATTTTCTTGGGCATTGGCTGGAGGAGCTGCCTGCCTCGTTGTTTCTGTATGTTTTACTGGTTTATAATTGATGAGCATGCTATGTATATATATATCAGCAGTTTCTGTTGGTTTCCCAAGCAGCTATAACTCAACAAGAGAAAGGCCGGCCATACACATATAGAATTATTGGACTGCTGTTGCAATTATCGCTTCATTACCACACTGGGCCAGCTGACCCATCACAATTAACAATATTGGCTGGTATTTAATTCGTTGACTTCTTACTTGAGTGAGATCATTGGTCTTTCCAGTGAATGAATCTTCAAATATGGCGTGCTGTTGAAACCAGTGGAGTTTAAGTCGATGTGATCCAGAAAGTGTTCCAATTCTAATCGATGAAATCACTGGAATGTCGTTTTCCGGATTGATGATTCCGGGGGAACAAACTGTACGTGTTAGTTTTTGCTTGTTTGAAAATTTAATTTCAAATTCTATATCCATTTAAGTGGTCTATTTTGTCCATTCAAATAGAGAAATATATTTAACAGGATTGAAAAAAACTGTATCGTATTGGCAGTTCGACCAGTAAAATTGGTAGGAAGAATTTAGATGTATGTAACGGTTGAACTACGGCGGGGTCGTTTGGAGAACGGGATTTAGAGCATGGATTTATTGAATCCGTAGATTTTATAGAAAATTATGTTTTTTTGTTGCTTTTTGTATTGTAGATTTTAGCATTAGACATTTCAAATATCTAAAATCTACGGATATCAAATCTCTCATAATCAGAGAGATTCTATATCTTGACTCGTGAGATTTTTTTCTCCTACTATTTATCTTTCTTTTATTTATTTATCATATTAAATATATCTATCAACAAATTTTTTAATATTTCTCGAACCACTCTAATTTTTATTAAGGATAAACATGTTATTTAATATAAAATTTTAGTTTTTTATTTTTATTTTCATTGAATGTTAACAATCACGGACTCACAGTTACCAAACAATAAATATTTTAAAATCTATTTTCAACAATCTGAAGAGTTAGAATCTTTAGATTGTTGACAATCTATAAATTGAAACTCATATTCTCCAAACGACCCCTACAATATCAACATAAAATAATTTACCGTTGACTTTTTCATTACAACTTCCGGTATGACTTTTCAATCTAGTTTATGGAGTGATAAGCTATGTGTCAAACATTTGTTTCGTTGTTCGAAAATTAAGTAAAATCTCAATCGTTGTTATACTCGTCGTGAATATAACAGTTAGAAAAGTTTATGGAACAAGTCGGTTAAGGTGGGGGAGAAATGTTTAATTTGCATGAATCAATTAAGGAGCAATTAATTGTGTTTAAGAAAATAGTTGAGGTTCGGTGAAAAATTAGACATGTTCACAACCAAGTAATTAGAGAAATTTTAAGATTTACCTGAACATAAACGAGGGGAGAAAACCCCAAATCAGGGCCCAGAACTTGATCAAACGCCAACAGATCATCATCCCTACCACCACCACCGTCGTCCGCCGCCGTCGCCGGCAGCCGCAGCCATTCCTCGACCGTCCAATCGGGGCAGTGGGCCTCGACGATCCTCACCCCGCCGTCGTTGCACTTGATGAAAGGCCTCCCCTGCAGCCGAGCGTCCTTGTCGTCCCGCCGGCGGATTCTGCCGGAGACAGGGTAGTAGAGGCGGAGCAAAGGGAACATGGGCTTCTTGAGGTCGTAAATGGTGAGCCCCTCCACCGCCTTGCTGTCGAAAAAGTAGACCGCCCTGATGTAGTGGAGCTTCATGGCGAGATCGAGGCCGGTGAGGTGGCGGTCCTTGTTCTCTCCGGTGACCGATGCCGGCACCACCGACGACAGCCTGGTGCCGGTGACGGCTGCCCTGCTGGTGGCGGAGACCATCTTCTTCAGTTTTGTTTTTTGTTTTGTTTTGTTAGGGGGACTGATCAAGTGGGGATGAGGATGGGATGTTAATTCTTTCTTCTCATTTATATACTGAATTCTTGGTGGAAGACGAAGAACGTGGGATAGTAATTATGAGTACAGATTGTTGGATTTCTCTAAATTCAAATTCAATTTAGCGGGTGTCCCTATTGAAAATAATTTGGTCAAATATCTATTGGGTTTTGAGAGCAAAGCAAACTCAACTCATTGAGTCCCTCTCTAGTTATGGTTTCACGAATATAACTATACATTATTTTTTTCGGTCACTCACATTGTAATACAAAATGACATTATTTTGATGTTTGAGTGCGGGTCGGATGAAAAGTGGGTTGGATTTTTTGGCAAAACTTAAACCCAACCGAACACGCCAATTCATAAACGGGTAAAATCCGATCCAACGAAAACCCATCAATACTAAGTTCTACATGTTTTGACCACGTTAGATCGAATTGGATACCCATGAATTCGGGTCAATTGTCGCCCTAATTATGAGGTGTATGAAAATAAGAGGACACAAAGGGCAGTTAGGTAAATGATGCACGTACTTTGTTTTGTTGTATAGGCAAGAAAGGAAGAAGGGTAGCCGTAGGACTAGGAGAGGGGAGGTTGGGAAGTAAGCAAGCAATTATTTTCTTTCTCTCGGAGGAGAGTCAAACCGGGAGGTAGCCGGCCAACTTAAAGCGGACACGTTTTTGTACTTCTCCTTTCAAATCAATCCTAATAGAGGATAAGCATCAATCAACGACGATATGTAATGTAATATAGGTAAGGTCTCTTCGTGACGTTAACTGTTTTTTTTCTTCTTCTTTTTCCCAATGAAACCATTTTCTAATTTGGTGTTAGTGTTAATACAATTTAGTCTAGGACTGGGAAACGGGACGGAATTGGGTACCCTTTTTCCATTTATCCGTACGAGACAAATAACGAATATCCAAACTACCCATTTATACCCGTTTAACATGGGAATAATTACAAAATTACGCCTTGAACAAAATAATAAAATTGCACTTGGAACAAATTGACATACTTTCCCTATAAGGCATAAGCTCTTCAAACAAAATAACAAAGTCTGAGCTACTGTAATTGTCCCATAAGTAATAAGTTCAAGCTATTGCACCTAGGGCTGGGAATCCGGTTCCAATTTTCCGGTCAAACCGGAAACCGGACAGTTAAAACCGTCCTGGTTGTAACCGGAAATTGGATTGCCATCAATCCAATCCAGTTCACGGTTATGGTGCAGCCAACCCGGTCCAATCCGGTTAAAACCGAAAAAACCGGATAACCCCAAACAAAGCCCAAACCAAGCGAAGCCCAGCCCACCACAGCCCAAAGTCAAGCCCACTAGCCCCAACAAGGCCCGCCAAGCCCCAACCCTATTCCTGATCCCTGACTAAGAAATAGAGAGACCCCTCTCTATTCTCATGCCGCCACCACTCATTCTATCCCCTCTCCTTCACCTTTGAAACACAAGAACTACTAAAATAGAAGAAGAAGAAGACCTCATCCCTTTGCAAATCACATCCCTACATCCTTGTTTGGTGACTCCCGTTGGTCGACAGCGAATCCCGCCAGTCGCAAGAGGCATGCAAAGGTCTTTCTATTCTGTTCCACCTCCGTAGCGTCGACCATTGAAATCTTTGTCGACAGTCGTCATCCACCAGCCAACGGACGAACCCCGAAGAAGCGAGAGGAGGAGGAGAAGATACGAGATTGAGATAGTTGCGAGATTGGGGAAGAGAGATATAAGATTTGGGAGAGAGATGCGAGATTTGGGGAAAGAGAGATGTGGAATTTGAATCTGGGAGAGAGATGCAGGTCGATGATTTTTTTTTCCTCCTCAAGTAAGTTTAAACGTATGTAATTAAATTGAATAGATCTGGTTTTTTGGTTAAAACCGTATTTCATCCAATTCATTTTGGTTAAAACCGGGTAACAATCCAATCCCGTCTTCGGTCAATGGGTTGATCAATACGGTTTTAAAAAACAGGGTCAATCTGGTCCGGTTTGAACCGAATTGGACTGTTTCCCAGCCCTAATTGCACCCTCAGTGCCTTGGTGAAATTGTCCCCATAAACTACTGTAAAAACAAAGTTCAAGCTGCTGTCCACAGGCCACAAGTTCATTCGGCATTAGTGCCTTAGTGGGAACAATAACTGAATAACAACACACTGCCAACATGGAAATGAAATTGCCACATGACATGAATATGAAATTGAACAATAAGAACCCACATGAAAATGAAGTTTCTAGAGTGCTGCCGCCTCTCAAATTCATTCGAAGTTTCAAGTTTCAGATTTCGACTAATGTGTATTGGGTATAACGCGTACCCATATTACTTAGACGGGTATTAGCGAGTTGCCCGCAGGTACCCAATGTTGACATTTACAATTCCGGCCCTAGGTTCTTAAGGATATTTAGTACAAATTGATATTTAGTACAAATTTTATAAATAGAACTTGTTCTGTAAATTTTATCATGTAATAGTTATGTGGTCTAATGATAGTCAAGCTTAACTTATGTCTTAAAGCACACAGGTTTGTTTCGCATTGGTTGCATATTTTTGTAAAATGATTTTCAGCCCCCGATCTCGAGATCTTGGCTCCGCCCCTGAGGCGAAGGAAAGACCCCCCAATCTCATAACGTCCGAGAAACACATTAGCATAATTTTTTTTTTCAAATAACATATAAAAATAGGTCGTCCCGTCCTGTATTCGCACGGTTATTACCCGTCCAATATTAAAATACTCGTCCGCCTCCATCTGCCATCACTAAATGCAGGCATGTGCGTGTAGTAAAATGGTCTAAAATTTTGTAAAAAAAAATGTCTAAAACGAAAGTTCAATGATACGAATATATATATATATATAGGGACAATAACACATGTGAAAGAATGAGGGAGTGTGGAAATGTGTATACAAATGTGTAACTTGCAAACTAAAAAGAAAACGAAGGGTCTCCTTAATTACTTTTCCCATGTTTGCCCAAAAATGGAAAAATAATTTGAGTTAACAATTAACATGCACTAAGTAGGCAGAAGGGTGTGAAGCTCTCTCTATATATATTTGACACAGAGGGGTCTAGTTGATTATTAACCATGTATGATTTTTTCCCTATTAATTTAATGAGTTATATTTCTTTAAAATAAAGTTAATTGTGTTCCTTAAAAAATTCTCTTTGATATCTTTTGAAAAAATAAAATTGAGACATATACTTCCAGTCTATATTATAGTGGTAATGCTACATGCATGGGTAGAGTTAGCTTAAACCTTGATGGCCCTACCGTCAAGAATTTTGATAATAACATATATAAATATTCTATAAATTTTGAAAATTACATATGAACTACCACATAATATGAAACTTGAATGGATCGAAAGTCACCATGACCCTCTATTTCTGAAGAGAGGAGGAAAATTTAGAGAGTGAGGGACATGAAACATATGATTTGTGAAAAAATTATTTTGTTACCTATTCAATAAGATAAATTTTATTGACATATAATAATAAATAACTAAAATATTTTTATTTATGATGTATTGTGATAAATTTATTTCATTAAATAAAATGTATTTTATGTATTTCACTAAAATTTATTTATTTTGTTCACTAAAATTTATTTCTCTTAAAAGCTAAACGTACAATTTCGAAAAAAATAATTTATTTTTGTTTACACAAATTTAGTGTACGGACTTCTAATCACAACTATATATGTTGCAGTTCATGTCAGATGATATGACATTTTTGTGATTCAACAACATTCTACTAGCGTCAATTATTGTCTACCATTGAGTAGCACCACCATACCTCTAATGATATATTTCTACCATCATTCTCCCGCTCTGGCATAATCCTACGACAATGGTATAGTCATATGAACATCGTAAATATCATATCCGCTTCGATGACAGTAGACTATTTTTACAGTTTGAACTCCGCTAAAAACTATGGAGAGGTGGCTGCAGGAGGTTCATATTATTAAGGGGTTATCGTCATTTTCACGAAAAATATATCCGAGCGACAGATACTAAAAACACATGTGACAAAAGTTAATTATGTGGTGTAACATATATGGATGGAGAAAGAAGACGAAGGGACAGAGAAGTCGAAGTTATGTTACATGTACTTGCATGTGTGTTATTAATATTGTCATGTTTATGGCTATAGCCTAAGCTAGATAGAGAGGGATGGAAGTGGAAGGTGGGGAGTTGGGAGCTAACGCCTAACAGCCCAGCTTGCTAGCTATGGCTACCGAACTAGTGGAAAACCAATTACGCGGCTTCTTCCGATCTTTCGCAAGTACGTACTTCTTCATTCATTGATGATCATTCAGCCGGGCCCCTATGATAGATACGACTTTCCACTTCCAAGAGCGCTAACTGTCTGTACGTACGTGTATGAGGTGGGATCAGTTTCAGGAGTGAGTAATTAATCAATCAAATCACGCTCTGCTAATTAAGTAGAAGGACTCAAACAATAATTTAACGGTTTGTTTGAATCTTCCATATTATGTTTATTGCGTTTGGAATATCATCGTATAAGGTGGCAGTCGGTCGGTTTCGGTTTAACCAAAAATCGAAAACTCGGTTATCGGTTAAATCGAGCCACTCCATATAGCTGCCGACCACCGACCGTGAGATTGGTCACGGTTAGCCGGCCAACCGACCGGTCGGTTTTGGTTTTAGGCTCGGTTAGCCGGCCAACCGGAAAACTACATTTTCTACAACAACAAAAAAAATAAACAAAAATTCTGCACTACTCACTCTAACCCCTCTCACTTCTCGATTCTTCTTCTTTCTTTCCAGAGCAGAGACCGCCCTCTCACTTCTCGATTCTTCTTCTTCCTTTCTAGAGCAGTGACCGCCGGTTGCTACCGCTCCCACCTTCTCCTTCTTCTCCGTCCCAATCGACCGAAACTCCGTCCTCCAAATCCACATCGCCATCCGGCTCCGCCTCGCAGCCGCCGTAGATGGACATCGCGATGGGCCATTCCTCGGAAGCAACAACGGT